TTACAACATTTCGCAACGAAACTTCGGAATATTACTAATTTTGTGATGCTCTTTCAAGCTGTGATGAAATTTTTGTCTAGATCAAAATTTAGTCTATAATGCAAATGGTCCATTCCACGTCATGTATCTGTTTTTGTTTGACAGTGATTCTCGTGTAACTAATGTATAATACTCAGGGACGCCGGAACTGGGGGGCAGGAGGGGCAACCGCCCCCGTTGCCCTTTACCAGGAGGGGCAAAGGTGCCCTTTCAATTTAAAGGATTGCCTTGGCGAAATAGCGAATTGTCAGAAATGTTAGTGCAATTCTTTTACGAATTTGCTTCAGAAAACGCAAGAAATGCAGTCATCGAGCTTCGGGAATAGCACAATCGCCTGGCGGAGAACCCCCTCACACCCCTATCATCCAATAAATAGAAAACATGATTAGGCGAAGTTCAACTCCCGATGTTTTGCAAACATCTCTTAGTATATATCAATTCAAAAGTGCACTTTCACGAAAATCTGCCCCCCTTGCCTTCACATCGTTCCGGCGTCCCCGATAATACTAGCCCAATGCTCGATTACTAGAAAATTACTAGATTACATTGGTATCGAAGAAACTAGATTCTGTTCCGAAATATCACTTGCTCGAACCATGGATAATAAAATAAATGGATAGGAAACTAGCTGACGTGACCTAATGTTTTCAATGGGCTGATGGCGTGATTGGATGTTGAAACCTAGTTGCAAACCAAATTCTCAAAAACGGCATGTTTAGCAATAATACAGCTAAACATTTTAGTCAAAGAGCAAATGAATAGAACTACGCCATTCTACGATGAAATTTTTTAAGTATTCCCAGTCAATTTTAGCAAATATTTCAAGCACTAAACAGTGAAAAATGCATCGCAAATTTCGTTAAAATTGGCGAATTTACGCCAATTTTGTAGCTACAAATACGTCAATTTCGTAGCTACAAATGTAAAAACAATACAAAACAAAGACGAAAAACATTTACCTTGAATACTTTGTCGTGGCTTAGGTATGTTTTTAAAACAATTAGACCAGTTTATGCTTCAATATTACTCTTTTAAAGCGGAAAGTATAGCGAAACAACAAAAATGCTGAGAATTCTGGCAATGCGCGTGACGTCAAAGATTGCAACTTGGTTTAGACTGTGACGTCAGCTAGTTTCCTATCCATTTATTTTACAATCCATGGTGTGACCTTTCATAGTGTTTACAAGCATTGGACTTAATTGGGTGTGTGTGTTCATAATTTTGTCCCTTTTGGACGCCCATAGCGAAACGTACGCAAGATGAAGGCGCCCAAACTTGTGCACATAAGTTCTATTCTGTTCTCTCTCATATGTATAGTCCAAGGCGTATTCCTTTGCATCTATCCAACCAAATATCTTGACAGAAGTTGGGTATTCATATTTCTATTATTCTTTATTGGCGCATCGATCATGGCATTCTATCTCCGCTTTCAGAAATGCCTATGTCGCCGTTTTCAATGGCTTCGTGATAACATTCCAGAATGGGCTAAATGGGATATCAAAAGTTCGCTGTGGTGTGTTTGGCTTGTGTATAGTATCGGATTGGTGGTAACCATTGCTGTAATATTTGGCGGCGTAATCGATGGAAACCACGCGGAAACATGTCGAGATAAAAACGACAATTTCTCGGGAACCTTTAAGAATGTGAAAATGTGTCGGACGAAAGACAATGAAATATTTTTCAAGGAAGGAACGATCTGTGGAAATTTAACCAACGACTACGCGACATTTTGTTGGAAGGCGAAAAGCGAAGTGATCCGTCTACTTAAAAAGGATGAGTTCTTCGGACCGAGCGTGCTGAAGATCACTTTGTGTGCGACCCCGGTATTGATGCTACTGCTCTTGAAGTCTGCCAGAGCGCCAAAACGCGACGACAGAAGATACCAAAATGGAACAGGTATATGTTAAAATCTGTTATAAAATCTGATCATAGGTCTGATGAGACAACTTTTCTTCAAACACTCATTAATAATTCATAAACTTATTGGCAAATCATGTCAACCATAATATGTCACGTGCAGTGGCTTTAAACCTGATAAAACACTCCTAATTAGTATTCTTTATATAAAGAATACTAATAAGGCAGTATCTATTGTAGTCGTGTCCTCATTAGTATTTTTTATATAAAGAATACTAATAAGGCAGTAAATCTATTGAATTTGTAGTCGTGTTTGAAGCCGTTTAATAAACTCGCAGGTCGTGTTTTATTTATAAATGCAAAAAAGATCTGGACTCAATAACAATTAAGAATATACCCGGATAAAAAACCATTTCAATAATGAATGATGTTGATATAATTGTCCTGTACTTTTTATCTTTCAGTGAGAAAGTTTCGGACGAAGAAGGGAGACACTTAGACCAAATCATCTAATTTCAATTTTAAATAATCTACTTATAGATCAGACAGAAGAACCGGAGGACGCGGTCGAAGACGAGGACTTAAAAGATTTGTATTTTAGAGCAACCGTAAACCTTTTTGACGGCATGGAAATGCTCGAAGAACTTCTGGAACATGGAATTCATGGAGCTGACGTTCCACAAGGCTTAGAAAAAATCGTATTGAACTCCGTTGGCTTTTTCTACTTTTTTTCATTCTTTGAGCTTCTGCATTTAGCATTTCGAGTGAAGGAAGAGAATGTGGAAGAAACAACAACATACAGCCAAAGTGACGATGAAAGCAGAAGGAAACAATGGAAAAAATGGAAACAATGGAAAAAATGGAAACAATGGAAAAAATGGACTCAAGGAGCAAACAGTTTTTCTCAAATTGTCTTGAATGGCTCATTTTTTGGTCTACGTTTAAGAATGTGGCGCGAGTACAAGCGTGACGCGGCAATTTTTCTCGCGAAAAATTTGATCTGGATCGTTATGAATGTGATGCCATATTTGTTTGCTTTTGGTTGCGTTGATGATGAGAGTGATGATGGATTTGATAGTGGTTTTGATGGTAACCCTGGTGACCTTCCTGGTGATAATGGTGACTTTGATGGTAACCTTGACCGTCTTGATGGTGATCTCGATGGTAGCCCTGGTGATCTTGTTGGTAGCCCTGGTGATCTTGATGGTAGCCTTGGTGATCTTGATGGTAGCCTTGGTAATCTTGTTGGTGATAATGGTGACCATGCTGCTGATAATGGTGACCTTGATGGTGGCCTTGGTGGTGTTGATGGTGACCTTATTGGTGAGTGGTGACCTTGTTGGCGAGTGGTGACCTTGGTGGTGTTGATGGTGACCTTGATGGTAACGATGATCTTGATAGTGATAATGGTGACATTGCTGGTGATAATGGTGGCTTTGCTGGTGATAATGGTGACATTGCTGGTGATAATGGTGACATTGCTGGTGATAATGGTGGCTTTGCTGGTGGTAACGACGATGAATCAAGACACAAAGAGTAAAGTTTTTTTCATATTCTATAGTTTGCATGTTATATTTGAAGTTTATTAAACCTTTTCAAACCTTCTTTTCAAACAAATAATATAAACAAGAGCCTCATAGATTGTACTCGAAAGACGCTCGTCAAAATAGTAGAAGAAAGACAGCATCAATGCAGATTTTGTAACAGAAACATTTTTTTCTGAATCTAGTTTGTTCTCGTGTATCAATAGCAAATTGCCTCGTGATGATAGATATAGCTAGATTTGACTTGTTTTGCTTCAGCTTGATACCAGTGACGTAAAAAGGACAGCATTTAGTATTTATAGTATATATAAAACACTCCAGCGCAACTTAAATAAAGTTTAGAAACATTTAAACTTTTCAATTCCTCCTACCGCCCCCTTCTCCCGGCGGCCATGCATCTGTTTCTGTTTGACGGTGATTCTCGTGTAGCTAATGTCAAACGGTTTTATATTGGATTTAATCCTTACCTCGAGTAGATTTTTCGGTCCAATATGCGTCCTAAGAAATGGATCAATGCCACCATGTGCTTTGTGTGATTCTGAGGGTGGAGTGTAGTTGATATGAGGACTGCTGTTCGCTAACGGCGGTGTCATACTGGACAAAGAACAAACATACTTTATTGCAGGTAAACTACGTAAAGCGTTCCTCTTTTGACTTCGTAACTCATTTGGAATTTTCCTCATTAGCTTTGCAAATTTGAAAAACTCTTTGCAAATCCCTTGAGGGAATTTGCAACGTTCCTATCGGCTGTTGCAATATTCCAAACTTCATTTTAAATTTTCCTAACTGCCTGTTTTAATTTCCTAACTTCCTGTTCTGTTCTGAGCGTTGTTATTGGTCGATTATTTTTGTCAGCCAATTGCAACGCCCAGAACAGAACAGGAAGTTAGGAACTTGTAACAGGAAGTTAAGAACTTCTAACAGGAACTGAGGAAAATTTTATTGGCTTTTAGCAACGTTGCAAATTCCCTCAAGGGATTTGCAAGGGAGTTTTTTAAATTGCAAAAGTAATGAGGAAAATTGCAATCAATTTAGAAACTCAAAAGAGGAACGCTTCACGTAGTTTACCTGTAATTGTCGACTCACAAAACTAACTTTATTCATAGTGATTGACCGATATCGGTAGGCAATCGGAAGAATTATCTATATTTCCGATTGTCTAAAACCGATGCATTACACGTTGATACACATTGCGTTTTAACGCCAATCACTATTTATTTGGATTTAGAGTCAAACTGGAAGCACCCTTCTCACATGTGACTGAGGTGAAATTATAATGAGACAACTGTATATTGGAGGAATCAAACCTCAGTCACAGAGATGAAAGATACATGCACTGACCACTGGGTCATTAATAATCTTATTAAAAATCTTTCCAGTCGCACGTGAGGGCAATGTTCTTTTGATTATCGCGGACATACCTTCCACTTTTCTTCTCCAACCAAGGAGAATGTTTTGACAAACACGTACGAAAAGGAGAACTTCTTTTCGGCGATTGCGAATCTTCGTCACTGGAATGTAAAGGAAAGTAGTTAGCCTTGTTATTACGGAGCCTCGTTTTAGGGACTTGTGTTTTGTTATCAATCTTATTATATGATTGTTAAGTACTATTTAAAACATGAGCAGCAGTGTTTTATCAGGTACAAAGATACGAGGCGAAGCGGAGTATCTACAAGTCTGATAAAACACCTAAACACACACTGCGAATGTTTTAAATTGCTTCAAAAACGATCAATCTAGTAAAGTTTATTGGCGCAGTAATTTTCAAAAAATACGTTGTGTAAGGCGAGAAAATCAAAGTTAAAGTTTATGTAAATCAAGGGAAATCTCTATCACATATAAAGATACGACACGCTTATGATTTTTCGTGTTTTCCTCTTGCATTTTGACTTTTTGAAGCAGTCAGAAAAATTTTAAAAATAATGTAATTGATAAATGATAATGTATAAAAACCTTTTACATGTATATCGTCTAATAGAGTGTTTGCACTCATCAAGACAAAAGAGTCTAAGTGAAATTCTTTGAATTGGAACACCAACATGGCGGCTGTGACGTCATGTGCAAACGCCCTGTGTACAAATGTGCCTATTTGTAACGAGATGAAGTCTAAACCCAATATAAGAAGTCTAAACCTTACCTCTGTAAGTAAGATCTTGATATGCTCTTGGGCGATAAACTATTCTTCAACGAAAAACTTTCATCCACAGAACTTGAGAAGGACGTGATGCCAAAGACGCTATCTAATAAATGAGAAAATCAAGATTTATATTTTAGTTAAGATAGTGATGGTTTACAGGGCAGGAAAAAAAGAATTTTTTTCCTGGGAGCACAACATGGAGACAAAAATTTCCTGCAGACCAACGGAGTATTTTTGTGCTAAATCTGCATGTGCATAAACATATAGTGTTCTAGCTGACCATGGTTTTAAATTCAAGGAATAATGTCTGTCAACCATATGTTGTTGCGCCCATATAGTGGGACATGGGTGTTAAGGTGTCCTTCAAATTGTCAACAGCAAATCTTCATTCAAACGAATTTCCTGCAGCTGTTTAACATTTCCTGCGAGCAGTGCTCGCCTATATTTTCCACCCATGATGGTTTTAGCTCTGCAAGTAAGGATGATTAGCATATACATCCTCCTAGTATCCTACTAACATTAATCAAAAGCAAACATATGGAACAGATAAAAGGCATATGCATATAAAAAAAATTTACCTTCTGACGAGAGACTTGAATCAAACATATTTTCGTTTAGTAGTTCTGTAGTACTGGACACGCGTAGTTTATTTGAATCTAAAGATAGAAAAATCTTCATGAAACTTCATATGAAGATGAGACTACTGAAAATGGGTAATTTCAGCTATAGACTAAATTTTGATCAAGTCAAGAATGAAATCCAACACCACAGCTAGAAAGAGCATCTTAGAATGAGTAAAACTGCAAAGATTGGTTGCGAAATGTTGTAAAATGAAGAAAATATAGCCCTATGAAGTTCGCAAATTTTTGCATATATTTGTATTACGCGCGGTAAAAATGGTTATTTTTCCAGCGCGTAACGCAAATATATACAAAATTTGCGAACTTCACAGGGCTATATTTTCCTCACTTTACAACAATTCGCAACCAAACTTTGCAATTTTACTCATTTTAAGATGCTCTTTCCAGCTGTGGTGTTGGATTTCGTTCTTCTTGGCTAGATCAAAATTTCGTCAACAGCTGAAATTATCCATTTTTTACTGTTCTCCGAATAAAATCAGCTGGGCTAACTATACTGTACACACAAGATCGTGTTTGAACTCACCACAAAGTAGCTTGATTGGTTTTACAATAAAGATTTCCCAAATCCAAAATAAAATAAAAGTGAATGGGAAAAGGATTTTCTTTAAGCCAGAACACTATAGGAAGCAGGAAAAATATACAGCATTAACTTCATAGTATATACAAGAATATACAGATGGAAAATTGTAAAATATATAGTAGATATATATGAGATGGAAAATAAAGGAATTTTGACTGTCCAAACTCACCAGTGCATTAAATGTCTTCAAACGTTTTCGTCTGGTGTTTGCCTAAATTTATTTAACAAACGCAACATTACTGAGCTGATAAACGGGTATGAAAAATTCAAGCCTAACAAATATAGTTCTCTTAAAAAATCTATATTTCCTGTGTAAATCAAATCATATAAAACTCCCTCCATGTGTAGATTTCCGAGAACATATAATGATGTGCTGCACATTATTGTGATAAATTTCAATCTCGGTACAAAACAATCTCAACTTCCAAAATGCTTTTGGAATTTTTAAACAGTATACGAGTAAATGATATGGCATTCCAGTATATAAGATGACAAAAATTTTCGGCAAGGTGTAAGAGAATTTCTGGCGAAGATATTTTGTTAAGATATTTTGTTAAAAATTTCCAGCTGCCGAACATTTTCCAGAACTGGAAAATTTCTGAGAAAAATGCTTATCAGATGCAGTAACCGAAGTTTCTAAAGTTCTTACCTTTATTACAAGTGGTTCAGCAAGGATGTCATCGACAGTGGGTCTATATTAAATAGAAGGATGTTAGTTTTATTTAGTAACACAGCTTTCGTTTGAATACTTCGACATTGAACTCAATGAACTAAATATACCAAAGTATTTTGATACTACAGTACGTAAATCAGCTGACCTGTTTCGAGGTAATGGATCCATCATTCTTCTTATCAGGCCAGACAACTCTGGCGACAGACCTAGAAATTATAATCAGCAGGGCTCAAAATAACGGAAGATACAGTAGGTCTCCGGTCAACTTGATTTTAGCTCGCTCAAAATCTGTTTTTGACCGGTCATTGATACGCTTACACTAACAGTGAAACAGACTATTAGAAACTAATTGTTTCGATACATCATAGTTTCATGTTTCAATTCAAGACGGTAGCAATGACATTGGAAGGCATGAAAATGTGGCCGGTCAAAATGACCGGAGAGGTAAAAAAGTGACCGGTCAAGAGGCACTTTTGGCCAGTCATTGTCCGTTGACTGGCAGTTATTTTGAGCCCTGATCAGATATGACAGGAATCAAACAGAGATGAAAAACACATGTACTGACCACTCAAACAAAATGTGTTCTTTGGCAGAGTCGAACTGGAAGCATTTTTCTCATATGAGAATGAGATGTAATTATATAGTAAAGCATATAGTTACTGTCCAGTCACGCATACGTGATAAAAAACCGATATAAACTTTATTGACAATTTAAGATAATGTAAAACGTAACAGAACGGCGAACATGCAGATTCAGTCATCTCAAATAATGGTAATGTTGGGATAGTTGCGTTGCAGACTGCAGAGGAGAGTGGGCAGTAAGGCTCCCTCATGCACCACCCCATCAAGGGCTGATTTTCATTTTTTTTAAAGGAAGGATGGAAAAATTTCTAGTGGGGTGCAAGCGGCAGCACTGAGCGTTAAGGTTAAAGATTGTCATACAAAATAGGAGGGGTAAAGCGAAATTTTGGTGGGGTTGAACACTTTATAGGAGGGGTTAGAGAGATTCTAAGGGGGGTTTAACCCCCCCCCAGTAAATCCGCCCATGCACCCAATGGAAGACCTGCACCCCTCCTTGCACAATGTCCAAACAATATCCACCTTGTAGGAAAGCGTTAGGAATCTGTTGGTGTCGAAGTTGCTGCCAAGCGTCTCCGCCGCGAGGAAGATCCAGGTCACAGGCGACTTCTAATAAACTGATGCCCAAGCTGAAGATATCTGCGGCTTTAGAGAATCTTCCTTCCAGTAGTTCTGGGGCGAGATATTTAGGATCACCTTCTTGAGCTTCATTGAAATGACGCTGAAATATTGCATGTCAGAAAATTCGGTTAACATATTAATAAAAATGTGAAGAGAACATCAAATGGTGACGCTGGATTCATATAGACAATTCCTATGCATTATAGACTAATTTTTTATCTTGGCAAAAAAGTATATTCCCGGAAAGAGCATACTAAAATGAGTAAAATTGCAAAGTTTGGTTGTGAAATGTTGTAAAATGCGGAAAATATAGCCTTGCAAAGTTCGCAAATTTTGTATACTTTTGTATTGCGTGCTACCACCGATTTGGGCCGAAAATAATACAAAATTTTCAAACTTTGCAAGGCTATAGTTTAGTATGCGCTTTCTAGCTGTGGTGATTTTTTTGCATCTCTTTGCCTTGTTCTAAAATTAGTCTATAATGGGAATTGTCTATTATTTCATCGCGATTTTCTCACCTTAGAGATATCAAGTACGAGACCAAAGTCGGCAATTTTATACAGTCCATCCAAACCAATCAGAACGTTCGAAGGTTTTATATCCATGTGTATCATGTCGTTGTCATGGAGATGCTTCAGCCCCTGAAAGATACCAACAATAGTAAAAATAGGTACATCAAGCGTACACAAAATGGTGTAGACAGTATTAAAGGGTTGCAAACATATACAGTTCGTTGGAAATAGTATGGAAATCCAATTTTCATAGTTGCAATTTTCATAGTGTTGAAATACTATGGATTTAATGATACAATTGCAAATTTCAGAGTATGGAATAGACAACTTGCATGTTAGACTAATTTTTGATCTAGGCAAAAAAAGTAAATTGCCGTAAAGAACTTATTAAAATTAGTAGAATTGCAAAATCGAGCCGAAAATGGTAACCATTTCCGCACGTAATACAAACATATACAAAATTCGCAAACTTTGCAAGGCTATATTTTCTGTATTTTACATGAACATTTCGTAACCAAATTTTGCAATTTTACTAATTTCATTATGTTCTTTGTAGCTGTTGTGTTTCCCTTCTCTTTACTTAGATAAAAATTTAGTCTGACATGCAAGTTGTCCATTCTGGCACAATTTTTTCCAGTGATAGCTCATGAAATTTACAGCTGATGTATGTAGGTTAAAATGGATATAAACATGCAGGGACACAGATTGCAAAACTACATGCAGAAATTGTGAGAAAAAAATATGAAAAGTGAGTCACAATACAACACCTGCGTTAGATCGACAAGGATGTCCCAGACTATTTTTTCGTTGATATTGTTGTTCTTTTCACACAAATCTGTCAAACTGTCAGGAACAAAACAAAATTTCAATATCATGTTATTTCATAGAGAAATCACATAAAACAATGTCTCACCTCATATCACAGAGTTCTGTTTGGATATAAAGTTGCTGTCTACAAGAATAAAACAGTAAAATTATTAGGTTTCGAAATGTATTAAACCATTGAGCATCAGCGCTCTCCTCTTGACAAGTAAAATAGTCTGGTGTTAGACAGAGTAACATAATAAAGTAGGCCGCATTGGGAAGCAGTGCAACTTTAAAATGGCTTAACCCTTTAAGTGGCAATGCTTCCAGATGTGGCCTACTTTATTATTTTACTCTGTCTAACACCAGATGATTTTACTCATCAGGCCAATGAAAATTGATATCATGTTTCTCGTCCCCGCCCGCATGGGATTTATCTGCCGCACAAAAATTTTTCATTATTCATTATTTTTGAAAAATAGGCTTAAAAAACACCAAATTCATCTCCAGATCAAAGTCTTATTGCTGCGCATTCCGCAAGCGCAACTCAAATTGTATCTTTCTAAATTATTATTCGCCAAAATGCCTCTATTTTTCATGTCAGCCCTGGTATGTGTAGAAATATAC